ATATATATATATATATATATATATATATATATATATATATATATATATATATATATATATATATATATATATATATATATATATGAGTAATACAGGGGCGAAGCCAGATGGGGGGCAGGGGTGGCCATGGCCACCCTTAGCCAATCTGGGGCCACCCCTACCATTTTTTTCTCTCAACTAGAATATTCAAAACATTTTAATTTTATATATATACACAATTATTTGACAGCAAAAACACTGTGGTCAATTCTGCACATCAATATACCAACATCAGGGATGATAAGTACAGAATTCATGCTCTTTCAGAGCTAGATTTTGTGTTATATGCCGTAAAGAGAAGATTATGTGTTTGCAAGTCATCTAAGAGTCTTCAGTGAAATTATAGATACTGTAAATAACTATTTTAATAAAACCATATTAAAGTATTAATTTATGTTGATATTAGTCCTGTAAATATCAATTTAACGTAGAATGATATTGATAAAAGTAGGTAAGTAATGACGATGGAAAAGATGTTCGCTCCAGAACTCAACCCTAAAAGAATTTTATACAATATACCTTTTTTCTAGACGGATGTTGGAAAGGCTGTAGGAAAGTTTGTCTTTATTTAGAAATATGTACTTTGTGCTTATTCCTGTTGGAACAGTGTAAATTGACCCTGAGGTTCTGGTGCCTATCCACTTTTGGCCACCCCTTAGTACACATTGGTTATTGCCTGGCTACCCTTATAAAAATGTTCTGGCTACGCCTCTGGAGTAATATTCTTAATATCTGATTACAGTATCATTATGCTCCATTAACACACAAATATTGTTGTGATGGATTTGTTTAATATGTTATATTACATTATTTATATACTTAAAGGACTTCATACTGAATATTTGATGTGATGTGCCTTTTTTTTCTTTCTTTTTTTTACCTTAAATGACAGTAATCTACTGAATCCATCAAACAGCATGTGTAAAAGTAATGATTTTATTTTTATTTTAAAAGTCTTAAGCTCCACTGAAAATGAGAACATAATCGTTGTTCGATGCTTTATCGTTTCCATTCCTACCAGTCTAACAAGGGAGTACCAATATGGCAGCCGATGACTTCACCTCACCGTGTTCTGCCAACAGCCTATCAGCAATCCAGTGAATAAACAGAGATCAGTGGCTCATCTGAATGGATTTATTCAAGGTAAAAGCTTGATATTAAGCAAAAAACCAAAACTGAGGATGTTGGTTTTTCAATATTGATTTTACTTTGTAGCAAACAGCAATTACCATTTTCACAATACAGTTTCTTGCAATCTTTTTTATTTTTGTTTTGTTTTTATATGTTAAAATATCCGTTGAATATAAATCCAATGGCTGGAAAATGATTTAAAACTTAAAATTTGGTTGCCAACTTGGTTTCTAAATCTTTTATATTTGTTTAATCTAGTCCCTGAGATTTTACCAAATGACTTGATAATTTCTAATAATTTGGCTTTGGACTTTTCTATGTTTTTAAAAACTAACAATGCATCAGCTGTAAATAATGCATAACGTTGTTGTTGATGCCAAATTGTTATGCCTGTTTCATTCTAGTGAGTTCTTATGGTTATTTCTAATGGTTAAATAGCTTTAATAATCAGCAAAGGAGGTAAAGCATCACCTTAAATGGATCCTTTTTTTTTTATTTTGATATATTTTTTAGAAATATTTCAATCAGTCTAAACTTGACTATGATAGAAATTTCCATTTGATAAAATATTCACCAAAACACTTGAAAACCTCAAACAGAAATAAATTCTCCACTCTGTAAATGTCTTATTCAGCATCTGATTACAGTAGAACCACTGAATCCATTTTTATTCATCATATTTAGAAGTCCAACATTATTAAAACTTAACAATTATTATCTTTAAGGATTCAATTTGTGAATATTTACAACATTATTTGATAGAAAATACAAAAATAATTTATACCACTCTTTAAGTCAGATTTGCTGCCAGTCAATAAAAAAAATAAAAATAAATGAAAGTTTGTTTTTAATACTTTGTGAACTGAGCTGATTTCATGTATTGAATGATGGATGGGTTTCAATTAACCCTTTATAGCGGAGGTCTTCAACAGGGTATCCGCGACCCCTAGGGGGTCCTCAGAGGTACTGCATGGGGGTCGCAAAAGTTTTGGTTGATTAGACTTTTTTTTTTATATTCCCCCCAGGAATTTTTTTTTTTCCATTAATTGAAATGTCTTTAAATACACATTAACATGAATTCAACACACTGTAATAAACAGATGAATGGAGGCAGAAGATATCTTTCAGTCATCAATGCACACAGAAGCTCTTTCAAGCTGGGCACCGTTACATTCACAATACCTGTCCCATCAACCAGGAATCAGAATCAGACTTTAATAATCCCAGGGGGAAATTACTATCGTTACATGACACTATATGAAATAGACTGACTATAGGACCAGTTTGATATTACACAATTTCATGCAATATATATAAATAGGGGGTCCCCGCTCAATCTAGCCATCAGTTTGGGGGTCCTTTAGGGTGACCAAACGTCCGTATTTCCCAGGACATGTTCGTATTTCACGTCCTGTCCCGGGCGTCCCGGGTTTTTTTTTAGAAAGTGAGGAAATGTCCTGATTTTTTCAATTACCTTAATTGGACCATTCAATTTACAGACGCTAGGG